AAAATCAGAATCAGAATAAACTTTATTGTCATTGCACCGAGATACAACGAGAATATGTATGTACAGTCGTCCGAAAGATGGGCAGAGTGCACAAAACTGCTACTATAAAAAGCACGACCCTCATTATTATTCAGAATAATATTTTGCTTAGATGAGAAAAGGGAAGAAAACATGAGGAGAGACGGTATAAAAAAACACAGAGAACGATTTGAGGCATAAAAAAAAAAACTACCACAACAAAGCAACACAAATAGATGTTATACATGTACATATAGGCCGGTGAAGACATTGAATTTTTAAGGGAAAGTCGTAGCATAGTCCAGAGCCCTCCTCTCAGCCATTGTACAGATAAGAGGTGTTATTTATCATCAGCTCGGTTGAGGTTCTGTCACATGTCCACGGCCTTGGGGAAGGGAGGGGTGAGGAGACAGACAAAGCATCTTTGTTATTTTCAAAACATGTCAGGAGGAGTTGAGAAAAGTCTGCTGTCTAGGGCACAGGTTGGGTCAGACAGAACTCGTGAATTGCTGTTTCTGCCTTTTGAAGTCTCGTTGGTATATTCCTCTGATGGAAACTCCAAAACAGCCAAATTTATCCTTTACGCCAAAAGTCGAGCTCACAGCTTCTCCAAGATTATTTCCCCTTCATGTGCGCTGCTAGAGAGTTCACAGTCCTGATAACAGCTGCTCCAGCTCTCATTTGCACATAATTCAGTCTGAGCGTTGTCAACCTTCGACACATTCACACAAATTTATAGACAATCCAGAATTCACCAGCCAAACAGCAAAAAAAAAAAAAAAACCAGTTGTCATCACGAATCCAATTAGGTTTCTGTCGAGGTAAGAGGGTCCTCCTTACCCTGACTTCCTGACGGGAGAAGTTGATCAATTTTTTTGAGAGACCAGCTGATCCTTCGAATTAGGAGGTATGCAGGGGAAAAAAAGAGGCTCACAGGACGAAAGAGTGCAAGCAGGGAAGCCGGGGGGTGGGGGGGTTGTAGCCCTTGTAGCCCAGGGAGACATGTCTGTCTTCACCGGAGTACAGAGAAAAAAAAATCTATATAGCCAAGATGGACGCGCACAGTACAGCTTCCCAGGATCCCGGTGGAAAACCCAATTTTTTTTTCTGAAATCGGCTCTGACCCTTGACACTTCTCTGACACTTGCTTTAAGCCTGTGAATTACAGCTGAACAAAACATATTAGTATAAAAGAAGGTTTGGCTTCAAAAACAGCAGCAATGGACCACAATCTGAAATCTACACTCAGCAGATTGCAGCTCCTATGAACATCAGCATCAAGAAAACGCAGCGTGCGGGCAAAGAAGAGGCCGTAAAAGGATCAGAGTATTTGCGGGACTGAAGGCTAATGCTAACAGACCGCCGATTCCATCTCTGTTCCTGGCTAATGTTTGCTCTTTTGAAAACAAGACTGACCTTCTGCGACTAAGAGTGAGTGTTTTAAAGGAAATGAGGAACTGTGCTGTCCTCTATCTCACGGAAACATGGCTTAATAGCAACATGCCAGACAAACTCAGCCTTCCATCTGGATTTTTTTTTTCTTTTTCGGGCAGACTGCTGCAACCAGCTATCAAGGAAGACACTGGGATACAGATTATGCATCTATGTAAACAAAGGTTGGTCCACAAACTGTGTTCTGAGAAACAGTTCCTGCTCCGAGGCTTTAGAACAACTGTCTGTGAAATGTCAACCTCATTATTTACCTCGTGAGTTTATGGTGGTGTATATCATTGTTTTCTTCATAGCTCTGTATGCGCATGCTAAAGACACTCTGAGGGCGCTACATGATAACATCAGTTCATACGGAGGCTTTTTTTGTGGTGACTTTGATTTTAATCACATAAACCTGAAAGGCATTCTGCCAAGATTTCATCAGAATGTCACCATACTGGGGAAATAAAACACTAGACAGTGTTTATACCAACATACATGATGCATATAAAAATGTAACCCTCCCCCACCTTGGCCTCTGACCACATCTCCATCTTTCTGGACCCTGTCTACCTCCTCCCACGGAGGTGTTTCAGACCCATACAGAAAACCATCACTGTATGGACCAGCAACATTGATTCTGTACTGCAGGACTGTTTAGCACGCACAGATTGGCAGATCGTTAGGGAGACTGCTGTAAAGAGGGAGAACTGGACCTGGAGGAATACACATCTGCTGTTCTCGGATACATCAACAAGTAGAATCAGAATCAGAATCAGTTTATTATCACCATGTCAATGAACGAGGTGCACAAACTAGGAATTTGCTTCGACATAAGGTGCGAATAGTAATAAAGTAAAATAAAGTAAAAATAAAGTAAAAATTAAGTAAAAATGAGAACATTACATAAGACATAAGACCTGTGTACACCCACAAATAAAGTAAAATTAAAAACATAACATAACCATATGTACACCCATACAATAGAAAACAATAAAAAAGCTTAGAAAACAGTACAGATGGAGTATTCAATTATAATACAGATGTAATGTGACCAAAGCAGAAATTATGAGGTAGCATTATGAGTGTTCAGGAGTCCAACAGCAGAGGGGAAGAAACTGTTCTTATGGCGGGAGGTTCTGGTCCGAATGGACCGAAGCCTCCTGCCTGAGGGGAGTGGTTCAAACAGTCCGTGTGCAGGGTGAGCAGGGTCAGCTGTGATCCGACCTGCTCGCCTCACAGTCCTGGAGATGTACAGGTCGTGGAGGGATGGAAGGCTGCAGCCGATCACAAGTAAGTAAGTAAAACATTATTTATATGGCGCTTCTCAAGATAAAAATCACAAAGTGCTTCGACAAACAAAATAAAAAGTGCATAAAACAAATTTAAGCAAAGGCAGATTTAAAAAGACGAGTTTTTAACTGGCCTTTAAAAGATGCCACTGAGTCCACTGATCTGAGAGTTTGAGGAAGGGAGTTCCAGAGTCTTCAAGCCACAGAAGAAAAGGCTCTGTCTCTTTTAGTTTTGCAGTTTTATCTGGGGGACAATCAGCAGGTCTTGATTACAGGACCTCAAAGTCCTGATAGGGGTGTAGGGATGTAAAAGTTCTGAGATGTATATTGATGTCTGTCCATGCAGAGCTCACCAAGTCAAAACCAAAACCTTGAAATCAACTCATTAATTAACTGGGAGCCAATGGAGTTGCTTTAGAAGTGGAGTTATATGACAACATTTAGAAGATACAGTCAGGAGTCTAGTAGCAGCATTCTGTACAAACTGCAACCAGTCTAGGGAGGTTTTGGTTAAACAAGTGTGTAGTGCATTACGAAAATCCAAGTGAGATGAAATAAAAGCATGAATTAATAATTCCAATTTCGGACAGAACCGGACGAAAAGAGTTACACCCAGATTTTAATATGTATGAGGAATGGCATGGCAATTCCTATAGACATGCATAGAACCCTGAACCAGGTCCAGCCCAAAGAAGGTTAGATTAAGCAGGTGGCATGATCTTTTTGGAAGTGTCAGTCAAGATCTTGCCCTAAAAATACAGATGATTCTGTGAAACTGGGGCTGTTGGGACCACTGACTCGTGTGGATGTAACAAACAGGACTGTTTGGACCACGGACGCGTGTGGATTATAGGACAAGTTTTTAGACGGTTCCAGCTGAAGGGGAACAGGGGCAAATCCGATGGAATAAGCTTTGTATGGAGTTATTTTCTTCCTTCAGCCTGGATTATATGCCTGAACCCTTTTCTTCAAATTCAGACCAGCTGCAGGACCAGAAACGGCCTGCATTCAAGTGTGAATGGGGAAATGTGCTTCTTGTTGAGCTGGAATTTCAAGGAATTCCAAAAAAACGGCGATGGTAAGAAGACGTTTCACCAATATTGTCCTTAATAAAAAAAATATTTCAAATTAGAGCGGTAGTCTACCAATTGGCAGGTAGAAAGATCAATTACATTTTTAATTTGATTGCTTGGAGTTGTGAAATGTCTGTCATTGTGGTGAGAGATAATGTATTGGGGCAGGTAGAGAGTGTGGGCAAATTGTGGAGGTTTTGGGGCGCTTGAGTGAGTCAGGACGACCGTAGAACTCACAGAGCGCAGCCTGCAAGAAGGAAAATATCTGGGGCTGAACGGAGCAAACCTACAATCATCCTCCAGCCCCCCCCCCCCGGAATAGAGAACTGCTTTGCCCAGGAAGGAGCA